AAAGAAGGGAGGGAGGGAGACAATGGATTTCCCCAGCCCTGCCCGGACCCCCACAGGTGCGCCCGATACGAGTGATGTCGAGCAGGCCACGCCCATCTCAGCTATGCCCCCCCCCAGGTCAAACACAACCCTGATGTGGCCCTCAATGAAATCAAGTTTGACACCCCTGCCCTATACCATTTCAGACAAATGGTTCTCCAATCTCTTCTTAAAAACCTCCAGTGTTGGAGCATCCACAATTTCTGGAGGCAAGTTGTTCCCCTGACAGTTAGAACAATTGATCAGTGGAACAACTTGCCTCCAGAAGTTGTGCCTCTAAAAGGGGGCAGATCTTCCGGCACACCATTACAGCTAGTCCTCAATTCATGAGATAACCGAGCCCAGAATTACGGTTGTAAACTGGGTCATCGGAAAGCTGCACCTAATTTTACAAAATCTATTTTTCTGATGGTCATTAAGTGAACTATTGGGTTTGTTCAGTGACTGCCATGGTTGTTAAACAAATACATTGTCCACAAAATCGGAAGTAAACACAAATTTTGGGCAAAGCTTGTTGTGAACTGCAGACACGCGATTGCCTCGGTTTACAACAGTTCATTTAGTGACCAAGATTACAAGGGTACTGAAAAAACTGACTTATGACTGTTTTTCTGCTACAGCCATTTCTATGACCATAGCATCTCTATGGTCACGTGATCAAAATCCAGACGCTGATTCATACAGTATTTATGACGGTTGTGGTATCCCGGGATCACATGATTTACTTTTCCGACCTTCTGACCAGCAAAGTCAACGGGGAAGCCAGGTTCACTTAACAACCATGTGACTAACTTAACAACTGCAGGGATCCCCTTAACAACGGTGGCAAGAAAAGCCACAAAATGGGGCAAACTCCCTTAACAAATGTTTCATTAGTAATATAAACGTTGGGCTCAATGGTGATCGTAACAGAGGTCTGATGGCGCAGTGGTTAGAATGCAGCATTGCAGGTTAACTCTGCCGAATGCCAGCAGTTTGATCCTAACCGGCTCAAGGTCAACTCAGCCTTCCAGGTTGGTAAAATGAGGACCCAGATTGTTGGTGGCAATATGCTGACTCTGTAAACCGCTCTTAGAGCAGTTTGTAAATGTTGTGGTCCGCCAGCAACCTGCGGACCTGGCAGCAGAGTCAGACAGTGAGGAGGCTGAGGAAGAACATGGGCCAGTCCTGGAGGCTGGGGAAGGCCCAGATGAGGGCTCTGCGTCCGGAGGCAGAGATGGGGCCAGGGCCATCGGGGAGTGATGTGCGGACTTTGGAGCCTCCAGAGGCTGACAGCAGAGAGGCAGAGGAACAGGAGGAGCCTGTCCTTAGTGCACCCATGTGAAGAGCTGCCAGAAGGCAGGAGCAGCTAAAGCAGAGAGGACGACTCGGGAGTAGGGCCAAGAGATGATTGGCCCCTCCCATAAGCCTTAAAAAGACCAGCAACGGCTTTGGCCTCTTTGCCGGAAAACAACGTTGAGAGAATTGCTTCTTGTTTCACTGTATTCATTTCTTATCGGCGTCTTCTGCTTCTGAACTTTAGCCAAGAAAAGCCTTTGGCAGGTTGCCTAATTATACCAAAGTCGGTGATAAACTGAGGAATGGTGTTTGGAAGAATTTGCTTTTGGACTACACTGAGAATGAGTTAATTCTCAGCTGTTCTAATAAAGTATGTTTGTTTTTGAACTGTTTGCATTTAATGCTAACTACTTGGACCTGGGTCACAACAGTAAAGCACTGTGAAGCAGCATATAAGTCTACGTGCTATTGCTATTTGCAGGCAAACTCTGCCCACTGCCAGGAGTTTGATCCTGACCAGCTCAAGGTCGACTCAGCCTTCCATCCTTCCAAGGCGGGTAAAATGAGGGCCCAGATTGTTGGGGGCAATATGCTGACCCTATAAACCGCTTAGAGAGGGTTGTAAAGCACTGTGAAGCAGCATATAAGTCTACGTGCTATTGCTATTTGCAGGCAAACTCTGCCCACTGCCAGGAGTTCGATTCTGACCAGCTCAAGGTCGACTTAGCCTTCCATCCTTCCAAGGCGGGTAAAATGAGGACCCAGATTGTTGGGGGCAATATGCTGACCCTATAAACCGCTTAGAGAGGGTTGTAAAGCACTGTGAAGCAGTATATAAATCTACGTGCTATTGCTAATGCCGGGGCCTTCTGCATCTGTATAGCCACCATCTTGATTTTTTTCATCCACTCCTGCAGATGCCTTTACTACAAATGTTAAAAGAGCCTGTAGTACAGTGGACTAAAGCACTGTTATTAATATCTGCTGCTTGCAATTACTGCAAGTTCAAATCTCGCCAGGCTCAAGGTTGACTCAGCCTTCCATCCTTTCAAAGGTAGGTGAAATGAGGACCCAGACTGTGGGGGCAATAAGCTGACTTTGTATAAATATACAAAAGTATGAAGGCTATTGCTTAACGCATTGTAAGCCGCCCTGAGTCTCTGGAGAAGGGCGGCATATAAATTAAAGCAAAAAAATAAAATAAAAAATGTTAAGGCAAATTATGGTTTGGAATATAATTGGCTCCAGAACCCAATTCAAGGTCAAATTTAATTTTCACTTCGTAAATCTTCGCGCCGCATTTATTTAACTGTGCTCCCCAATGCTCAAAAATCCTAAACGTATCTCCTTCGTGAAGTTGAATTTTAAACTGTGTGCATCTTTGAGGCAGAGGTCTCCTTTGCGCTCCTGCAATTTTAAAATTCCTCCAGGCCTCTGAAATTGGATACGTGACCAAGCAGGGGCTGGAAATATAGCTAGTTCTCGACTTATGAATGGTCACTTAGCGACTGTTTGAAGTTATGACGGGCCTCCAAAAAGGTGACCCTGAGGACACAGATAAAACCTCCAAGTGCTTCAATGACTCTCTAAAAAGGATGCAAATGACCAGCTGTCTGCAAGGAATATAAATCCTTCCATTCCTCCACTATCCGGTCAGAACTGAAGAAGCTTCTTGGATGACAAGCGAAACGTCCTCAAAGAAAAACAAGAAAATCCAGTTGCCTCCTGAAAAAAAACACATTTGGGACATCCAGATTCAAAGTTCCAATGGTTTGTCTGTCTGTCTCTCTCTCTCACACACACACACAGACTCATGTGATTCAATGGTGGGTTCCTCATGGTTCGGCCGAGCCAGTAGTGGTGACAATATGACATCACCGAACCAGTTCTGCCCACTCCACCCCCCCCGTGTTATTCTTACCTTTTATTTGGCCCCACCCCCAATCTATTGCTGCCTCCTGAGTCCCAGCTGATTGGCTAGAAGGAAAAAAACTGTTTAAACTCTTGCCGCAGGGCTTCAAAGGGCCGCCCTACAGCTGATCAGTGTTAAAAGACAGTGTGGTGGTAGACCGATGCCTCCAAAAACAAATGAGTAGACCAGTGCCTGAAAAATAAACGGGTAGACCAATGCCTCCAAAAACAAATGAGTAGACCAGTGCCTGCAAAAATAAACGGGTAGACCAATGCCTCCAAAAACAAATGAGTAGACCAGTGCCTGCAAAAATAAACAGGTAGACCGATGCCTCCAAAAACAAATGAGTAGACCAGTGCCTGAAAAATAAACGGGTAGACCGATGCCTCCAAAAACAAATGAGTAGACCAGTGCCTGAAAAAATAAACGGGTAGACCAATGCCTCCAAAAACAAATGAGTAGACCAGTGCCTGAAAAAATAAACGGGTAGACCAATGCCTCCAAAAACAAATGAGTAGACCAGTGCCTGCAAAAATAAACGGGTAGACCCAATGCCTCTAAAAACAAATGAGTAGACCAGTGCCTGCAAAAATAAATGGGTAGACCAATGCCTCCAAAAACAAATGAGTAGACAAGTGCCTCCAAAAACAAATGAGTAGACCAGTGCCTGCAAAAATAAATCGGTAGACCAGTGCCTGCAAAAATAAATCGGTAGACCGTTACAGCTCTGCAAGCAGTTAAAAGCCTGGTAGACCAGTACCTCTGCTAAATCCTAAAGAATTGTCACATGACCACCAAGCCATGCCCACAAAATAAGCCACGCCCACAAAACCGGTAATAAAGAATTTTAGAACTCACCCCTGATGTGACTGCATTTTGATGCTTGGCTACCGGCCCACATTTATAGCCGTTTGCAGCATCCTGCAGTCACATGACTGCAATTGATGACAATTTTTGCAGGTTTCCAGTGGGGGGGGGGGGGAAATGCTCATTGTGGACAATTGGAGGCTGGCCAATGTTGGTTATGAGATGGGCGGCTATATAAATGTTATGAATGAATAAATGTGTTTGCTTAAGGAGCACGGCATCCACTTTAAGACCACTGCAAAAAAAATGTCCTAAAAATGTGCCTCGATTTACGACCGCCATTACGTGGGATGGAAATTCCGGGCTCCATTACAGTCGTAAGCCGAGAACTGACTGTACTTTCACTACAATGCCCAATACAAAGAGGAAACTGACCGGCCTCTATTTTGCAGTGGGGGGTGTGGGGTGGAAAACTAACTGCCTGAACTGGAAATCATGATTAAGAACCAATGCAAGGTGCAACTTTTAATCGCAAAATATACCACATTTTTCAGACTGTACACGCACTGGAATATAAGACGCACCAAGATTTCGAAGAGGAAAACAAGAAAAAAAATAGTTTTTGGCCTCCGCGCATCTGGGTTTTGCCCTCCCCAGCCCCCAGGAGTACTTTGCAGGCCTCCCAAACCCCCTGGGGCCATTTTTTGCAAAAACGGGATGCGTAGAGTTTAGGAGGCCTGCAGAGTGCTCCTGGGGACTGGGGAGGGCAAAAACATGACATGTGCGGGGTTTGGGAGGCCAAAAATGGCTGTATTTGGTGTATAAAATGCACCAACATTTCCACCCTCTTTTGGGGTGAGGGAAGTGCGTCTTTTTTTTTTGACATGTTTTATTGGTTTTTTCCCCCAATACACACCCACATATTTTTTGAAATAGAGTATTGACCATATCATATCATATATAATTCATCATATCCAAATATATTTTACTTAGTTAACAGTTTCTGCCAAAGTGTTCTTTTTCCATATTTGTCAATCAAATCTTAATTTTTCTATTCTTACTTTTTCTAAACAGTATCTTCTTTCACCCTCAAATTCTATTTTTTCTATTCTTAATCATATACATTCTCCTTAATTTTTATTAATTCAATCTTTATCTTAATATATTTAAACGTGTTCGGGGATGCCTTTTTTTCTTCCATTTCATCTTTTTTTGTTTTACAGCAATCTTTCTTCTCTTTCTCTTCCTCTCCCTCCCTTCTTTTGTCCTTCCTACCTTCTTCTTCCCGCCTCTCCTATTCCTTCTCTACTTCCCCTTCCTTTCTCCCTCTCCTTCTTTCCTCCCCGCTATCTAACCTTCCCTCCTACTCTTATTCCCCTTTAGAAAAGTGTGTCTTATACTCAGTGGTGGGATTCAGCCAGTTCGCACCTATTCGGGAGAACCGGTTGTTAACTATCTAAGCAGTTCGGAGAACCGGTTGTTGGAAGAAATCTTATTTGGTTTTTTTCCATTTTACAGGGCTAATCCTGTAAGGAAGGCAGGAAGGAAACATTCTGGTGTTATCTCTAGCCTAATCTTTATTGCTTCTCTGGTTAACCTTTATTACATTGTAACAGCTAAGGCGAAGTGCCCAGCAACGTGAGTTACTCATGCCCATTGAGTTGGCCATGCCCACACAGTCACATGACCACCGAGCCATGCCTACCCAGCTGGTCATTAGGGCAGAGAACCGGTTGTTAAATTATTTGAATCCCACCACTGCTTATACTCCAAAAAGTACAGTAGTTTTCTCTTGGTTTTTTTATCCATAGGATCGGCTTGTGATGGGGTGCACAGGGGATATATAAAGTCAGATCAGGATGCCACAGAGAAAGAAATGGGGCTCTCTTCTCAACTCTTCGCACCAACGAGAATAAATGCCCTGAGGCCTTGCGGCAATCTATTCCACCCTTTTCTCCCAAGAGAAATTCATGAACACACGACCACACTGCCATCTAGTGGACACGTCATGAATCCTTCCGACCCATCCCGCTAAAAAAAAAAATCTAGCATGAAACCGAGAGGCTGCATCTTTTTTTTATAATGCGGGTTTTAAAATGCCGTCAGCTCCTGGCGGTTACGGATGAAAAATATAAAAAAGTTTTAAAAAACAACCGGAGGGTTAAATGATGCCTTTGCAGTGTAGGAGAAGTGGGCCCCCAAAACAAACTTCCTTCCCACCGTCATTCAGCCGTTTTTCACCCTGAATTTCTGACCTGCAGAGAGATTAAAAACTAGAAAGCGGTGACTTCCTTCTGACTTGGCAACTGAAGGCTTTTTTTTTTTTTTAATTTTGATTTATATGCCGCCCTTCTCCGGAGACTCAGGGCAGCTTACAATGTGCTAAGCAATAGCCTTCATCCTTTTTGTATATTTATACAAAGTCAGTTTATTGCCCCCACAAACTGGGTCCTCAATTTACCTACCTTAGAAAGGATGGAAGGCTGAGTCAACCTTGAGCCTTGGCGAGATTCGAACCTGCAGTAATTGCAGGCAGCTGGTCTTAATAACAGGGTGCTTTAGACCACTGTACTACCAAGGCTCCTTCACTGTACTGTACTACCTCCTTCACTACTAAGGCTCCTTCACTGTACTACCAAGGCTTTGCTATAACGGGTGGACTACTTTGACGAAACTTTAGGCCAGAGGTCTTCAAACTTGGCAGCTTTAAAAGACTTGTGGACTTCAACTCCCAGAATTCTCCAGCCAGCATAGCATAGTTGAAGTCCACAAGTCTTAAAGCTGCCAAGTTTGAAGACCTCTGCTATATAGGGACGCTATGCTGGCTGGAGAATTCTGGGAGTTGAAGTCCACAAGTCTTTTAAAGCTGCCAAGTTTAAGGACCCCTGCTTTAGGCATTCGAATACCAGGAAGGTGTTTATTATTATTCAGGTAGGACAAGACGCTCTTCAAATTTTGCAAAAGAGGATGCCAGGTACCCCTAAAGTTCCAAAGTGCAGATAAAGGACAAGCAACATGGGGTGAAAATACATCCCAGCAGCCAGGCTGCCCCCGTTTTAGGGCTCCTTCCTCTCTAAGGTGCAGAATTCTTCAGCCGTCTGGAAGTCATTCTAGGCCAGGAGGTTGGTTGGCTGACTTTCCTGGTTACAGTCTGTTGCAGTCGCAGACTCTGTGCCTTCTCCTTCGGATGCAGTGATTTTGGGATGGTTATTTCTCTGGTTGCATATGGCATGCAGAAGGATGCCTGAAAGAGGTGGGGAAAAAAAGGGAGGGGGTTGGAAGGAAAAAGAGAAAGGAGGGAGGAAGGGAGGTAGAGAGAAGGAAAGAAGGTGGATAAAGAGAAAGAAGGGGAAGAGGGAGGGAGGAAAGAAAAGGAAAGATGGTAGATAAAGAGGGAAGGAGGAAGGAAGGAAGGTAGATAGAAAAAAAGAGGAGAGAGCAGAGGAGAGAAGAAAAGAAAGACAAAAAAAGAAGGAAGAGGGAGGGAGGAAGGTGCATAGAGAGAAGGAAAGAAAGTGGTTAAAGAGGGAGGGAGGGAGGAGGGGTAGATAGAAAAAAAGATGGGAGGGAGGGACGGAAGGAAGGAAGGAAGGAGAAGGAGGTGAATAGAATAAAAGATGGAGGGAGGGAGGTGGAGAGAAGGAAAGAAGGGAGATAAAGAGAAAGAAGGGAGAGAGGAAGGGAGGAAAGAAAAGGAAAGATGGTAGATAAAGAGGGAAGGAGGAAGGAAGGAAGGAAGGAAGGAAGGAAGGAAGGTAGATAGAAAAAAAGAGGAGAGCAGAGGAGAGAAGAAAAGAAAGACAAAAAAAGAAGGTAGAGGGAGGGAGGTGGATAGAGAGAAGGAAAGAAGACGGATAAAGAGGAAGGGAGGGAGGGAGGGAGAGAGGAAGGAAGGAAGGAAATATACAAACATATTAGCTGTTTCCAATCTCCTTTTTCTTCTCTCAGAAGCAAAACACACCAGACCGCATGAGAAGGCAAATCCTCTTACCGGCTGCCACTGACACATTTAAGGACTCCACCCCAAATTCCAAATCTCTTCCCGGAGAGATGGTCAGCATCTTGTGGCACAGCATTCGTGTCTCTGGAGATAGGCCGTAACCTTCGTTTCCTGTATGCACGTGACAAAAGAAAAATAAAATAAAATAGCAAATTAAATCTAGTGTTTCAAAACAGGGATTTATTTACTTTTTTTAGCACGCACGCCTCTGGGCTGGTCCCTCCCTTCTCAAACCCAGGTCTGTTGTGGGGACAGTGGGGAAGGTCGGACAAGGAGCTGGGAGACCCACATTCGAGGCTCTCTTCAGCCACAGTTGCGGCCCGTACGCGGCCTGTGCGGATTGTAGCTGATTCCGACAGCGAGGAGGCTGGTGTGGTGCTGCGCCAGCAGCCTGTGCAGCTGGCACTCGAGTCGGACAATGAGGAGGTTGGAGAAGATGGGGTGCCAGAGGCAGGGATTCAGCCAGGGCCTTCAGAACCTCCAGAAGCTCCCATAAGTGAAGAGGACGAAGAGGAGGAGCCTCTTCTCGATGCACAGGCGCGCAGAGCTGCCAAAAGGCAGGAGTGGCTCCTCAGGAGGAGGTCTCCTCGAGAGTAAGGCTTACTCCTCGAAAGTAAGGCTTCAAGAGTGGCTAATTGGTCACTCCCTTAGCCTATTTAAGGAAGGACGACGACTGAGGCAATTTGCAGGGAACAACTTCGTTCACTCTCCTTCGCGTCCTGGTCTTAGTTCTCTTATCAGTTTCCTGCAAATTGCTTCTGGGCATTCTGCCAACCACAGTAAGCGTTCAGTTATTATTCTTTGAATTCTTGGTGGCTGTTAATGCAGTTAATTAACAGCTGTTGTTGTAAAAAAAACTGGTTTATTTAGTAAACTAAGGTTTGAACGGACTTTGTGTATGCTGCGTTCTTTGGGGTCCATAGCTGGGGCAGAACAGCTGCAGATGTTCACTGGATGTCTTTGAGCCAGTCGGTTTCTTCCGGCCCAGTCTACGGGTACAAGCAGTCCTCGATTTACGACATTCATTTAGTGACCATTCAAAGTTACGTTGGTACTGAAACAAGTGGCTTATGGCCGTTTTCCTCACGGCCATTGCAGCATCCCTTCATGGTCACGTGATCAAAATCCGGGACGCTTGGCAACTGACTCACATTTATGACGGTTGCAGTGTCACACCATCCCCTTTTGCGACCTTCTGACAGGCAAAGTCAATGGGGGCAAAGCCGGATTCACTTAACAACCGTGTTACTACCGGTAACTTTACCAACCGCAATGATTCACTTAACAATTGTGTCAAGAAAGGTCGTAAAACAAGGATGTTAGTAAATTAACAACTGCAATGATTCACTTTAACACAGTGTTTCTCAACCTTGGAAGCTTGAAGATGGGTGGACTTCAACTCCCAGAATCCCCCAGCCAGTAGCGCTCAGTCGGTGAGTGGTGCTCTGCCTAGCCGGACCCGGGGGGTGGTGGTGTCCGCTTGGTGGGCACCAAGTGGTAAGAGGTGCCGGGCAGCTGCTCTCTTGCAAGTGGGGTGGGAGTTTTCAGGCGAGGGGAATGGATGGATAGATGGCAGTGGTGAAATCCAATTTTTTTTTTACTACTGGTTCTGTGGGCGTGGCTTGGTGGGCGTGGTGTGGCTTGGTGGGCGTGGCAGGGGAAGGATACTGCAAAATCTCCATTCCCTCCCCACTCCTGGGAGAAGGATATTGCAAAATCTCCATTCCCACCCCACTCTGGGGCCAGCCAGAGGTGGTATTTGCTGGTTCTCCGAACTACTCAAAATTTCCATTACCGGTTCTCCAGAACCTGTCAGAACCTGCTGGATTTCACCCCTGATGGATGGGAGGCGGGCGAGCACCAAGAACGCTGGGGCAGCTCCCGATTAGCTCAGCTGATCTGTGGGTTGCCATTAAGGAGCCCAACTGCCATTAGCTGACCGGGGGAGGGAAGGCCTGCCTTCTGTGTTGCCCACATCAAACTCTTCACTAGGGCTTATTTTCGGGGGAGGCTGTATATTTACGCCCACCCCAAAAATCAGGCTTGGCCTCATTTTCAGGGCATGTCGTATTTTCGGGGAAACACGGTAGAAACTCTCTTCCTTTCCCCCGATCATTTCAGCAGAGTTACTAGGCCAACATGACAAGTGAAAGTTTAATTAGAGCTTTCGATTGATTAGCAATTAAACTGCCACCCAGCGAAACAAGAGCAGATGCTTCAGTTCAGACCTCTTGTCTTCGGCTCTCAGCTCAGAGGAAGAATTTGTTTTAAGAATTAGATGACCAAAGAATGCAGGGAGAAGGGACATTTTAAAAAAATGTGCTAAAGCCATGAACAAAAAAAAAAAAAGTATAAATACTGTATTTTTCGGACTATAAGACACACCTAAATTTACAGGAGGAAAACAAGAAAAAAATAGTTTTTGGCCTCCACGCATCGGATTTTCGTCCTACCAGGTACCCAGAATCACTCTGCAGTGCTCCACACGGCCTGTTTTTGCCAAAAATGGGCCCGTTTTTGCCAAAAATGGGCCCATTTTGGGGCTCCCAAGCCCTCCGCGCGTTACGTTTTCACCTTCCCAGGCACCCAGAAGCACTTTGCAGTGCTCTACACAGCCCGTTTTGGCCAAAAACGGGCCCTTTTTCACTAAAAATGGCCCACTTTTTCGCCTGCAGAGTGCTTCTGGGGGCCGGGGATGGCCAAAACGTGATGCCTGGAGGAATTGGGAGCCCAAAAACAGGCCCGTTTTTGATTAAAATGGGCCGTGCAGAGCACTGCAGAGTGCTTCTGGGGCCGGGAAGAGCAAAAACGTGACACGCAGACAGTTCAGGAGGCCAAAAATGCCCGTATTTGGTTTATAAGATGCACCTAAATTTTCACCTACTTTTAGGGGGCGGGGGAAGGTGTGTCTTATACTCCGAAAAATATGGTATATAAAATCATCTTTCTGAAACAATAGCTTCAAACCTAATCACAAGGAAAAAGGAACTGGAAAATTTTGTCCTAAAGAGAATGACTCTGGAAACATTGATGATAGTGCTCAAAGAGCAACGTCTTGGCCCAACTTACCTCACAGGGATGTTGTTACAGGAAAGAACAGGAGACAGGAGAATTAGTATGTTTGCCGCTTTGAGTTGTATAGATAAGAAAGGTAAGATAATAATAATAATAATAATAATAATAATATGATGATGATGATGATGGTGGTGGTGGTGATGATGATGATGATGAAGAAAAAGGAGAAGGAGAGGTGAAGGAGGGAAGGCAAAGGAGGGAAGGAGGAGAGAAGGAAAAGGAGGAAGGAGAAGGAGGGAAGGACAGAAGGAAAAGGACAGAAGGAGATAGAAGGACAAGGAAGGAGACAAGAAGAGAAGGAAGGGAGAAGAAGAGAAAGGAAGGAGGGAGAAAAGAAAAGAAGAAAAAAGAAAAAGAAAGAAAGAAAGAAAGAAAGAAAGAAAGAAAGAAAGAAAGAAAGAAAGAAGGAAGAAGGAAGGAAGGAGAAGGAGAAGGAGGAGAGGAGGGGGAAAGGAGAAAAAGAAGAAAAGAATAAAGGAATGAGGAGTGAAGGGGAAGGAGAGAAAGAAGAAAAACAGGAGAAAGGGGGAAGGAGAGAGGGAGAGAAGTGAAAGGAAAGAGAGCGAAAAGAAAGAGGAGAGGGAAGAAGAGAAAGAGAAAGAGCGAAGGAAAAGGAAGGAGAGAGAAGAGAAGAGAAGAGAAGAGAAGAGAAGAGAAGAGAAGAGAAGAGAAGAGAAGAGAAGAGAAGAGAAGAGAAGAGAAGAATTGAAAAATATTCCTCTACGCTGTTTCCCATTCATCCAGGATTCAGGGTCTAATTGGTGGTTCTTTTTAAGTTTCACCTTACAGTCTGACTACGATAAAAACACGATCAGATTCCTGATATCTCTCCCAATCTCCCTGCTAACCTGCTGCTCTCTACAGGAGGAATCTCCTTTTCCTTACTGCTGGAAAGCAGTCTTCTCTAGATCTATTTGAACCAACAACAACAAAAAAGAATTTTCCCACACCGGAGGGAAGGTGGCAAGGATGGCCTTTCCTTGGCCCTCCCCCCCCCAACTTTTACTCCATGGAAAAAAAATACCTACCGAGTAACAGTACGGTGGGTCCAGTCCAGCGAAAGTTGGAGCAAGTGACCACCGGAATGTTTCCCAGAATCTTTCCGTGGCCAACCGTCCCGAGAATTTCCCAGCCTTCTTCGGATTTTGTCTTGAGAGGGGGAGAGAGGAGGGAAAGAGAGAAAAAAAAATCACTCAAGTTTCAGATCTGCGTGCAACATTTTGCTTTCTATACACAAAGCTCAATTCTTTTGTTTCCTGGAGGGAACAGGGAAAAAAAAATTCCTGGTTGGTTTTTGATTAAGTCGCTATGCATGCTGCCTTATATAAAATAGCTAATAATCTACAGTTTCCCCCTGAAAATAAGACCCTGTCTTATATTTCTTGAACCTCTTGGCCTTATTTTCGGGGAGGTCTTATTATTTTGGGGCACGTGGAGCAAGACGGGGCTTCTCTTGCCGTCTTACCTGATTTCCAGCTCTGTCTCCCTAACCCTAACCAGAGGAAATGGCGGGGATTGGCTGTGCATGCATTGAAATATTTTCGGGGAGGACTTATTTTCAAGGGGGGCTTATTTTAGTGCATGTGCTCAAAAGCCTGATTGGGTTTATTATCAGGGAATGTCTTATTTTCGGGGAAACACGGCAGGAAACAAAAAACAAATAAATAAATAAGAATAGTTTGTATTGACTAATCCAATGTTTCTCAACCGTAGCAACTTGAAAGGTGGGTGGACTACAACTCCCAGAATTCCCCAACCACTCAGAGTCACCTTAAGAGGGGAGATGGGCGGCATAAAGATTTAATAATAAATAAATATATGTATGCATAAACTCCCAGAATATCCCAGCCAGCATGCTTGTAGATGGGTGGATTTCTACTCCCAGAATCCCCCAACCGAGCCTGGTGATGCAGTGGACTAAACTACTGTTGAAGTAGCACTTAGCTGCCAGCTGCCTGCAATTACTGCAAGTTCAAATCTCACCAGGCTCAAGGTTGACTCAGCCTTCCATCCTTCCGAGGTAGGTAAAATGAGGACCCGGTTTGTGGGGGCAATAAGTTGACTTTGTATAAAATAGAACACCGCTTAGAGGGACCCGAAAGCCCTACTAAGCAGGTATATACAAAAGTATGAAGGTTATTGCTTAAAAGCATTGTAAGCCGCCCCGAGTCTCCGGAGAAGGGCGGCATATAAATCAAACTAATAAATAAATAAATAAACCGGTTGTGAATTTGGCTTTCCTCCTGATTCTTTCAACCCACCCGGTCGAATATATGCCTGGGGGAAAACTGAGATTTTGAGAACCAGTTAAAAAACAAATCAAAGGGATTTGAAGAGAGGGGGAAGAGAGAAAGAAAGAGAGGGGGATGGTGAATGGGAGTGAGACAGAGGAGTGAGAGGGAGAAAGAGAGAGGAAGGGAAAGAAAGAGAGAGGGGGCAAGAGAGATACAAAAAGAAAGGGATGGAAGAGAGAGGGAGAAAGAGAAACAGTGCAGGGGGAAGAGAGACAAAAAGAAAGAGGGATGAAGAAAGAGGAAGAGAGAGGAAGAGAGAGGGGGGAAGAGAGAAAGAAAGAGAAGGGGATGGAGAATGGGAGTGAAAGACAGTGAAAGAGAGAGGGAGAAAGAGAGAGGAGAGGAAGGGAGAGAAAGAGAGAGGGGGAAAAGAGATACAAAAAGAAAGGGACAGAGAAAAAGAGAGGAAGAGAGACAAAAAGAAAGAGGGATGGAGAGAGAGGGGGGAGAGAGAGGAAGAGAGAGGAAGAGAGGGGGATGGAGAATGGGAGTGAAAGACAGAGGGAAAGAGAGAGGGAAAAAGAGAGAGGAGAGGAAGGGAGAGAAAGAGAGGGGGGGAAAGAGAGATACAAAAAGAAAGGGACAGAGAAAGAGAAAGGAAGAGAGAGGGGGCAAGAGAGATACAAAAAGGATGGAGAGAGAGAGAGAAAGAGAGAGAGAGAGGGAGAGAGAGAGAAAGGGATTGTTTCCAACTGTTGCCCAATGCTGCCATCTCATGGCCATTTGTTGTATTAAAAGCAACTGGTACTCAAGCCATCCTTGACTTATGACCACAATTGAGCCCAACATTTTTGTTACTAAGTGAAACACGTGTTAAATGAGTTTTTTGTCCCGTTAATTTTTAGCAATTATTTGGCACTGCGGATAAACAACTCAAACTGGGTGTGGTTGAGAATGATTAAGGACAGGAGGATTAGTACCTTAAGGAGATCTTGAACGTCATCAGTGCTAAATACATCAAAAACTTCCATGACACCCGAGCTGGCTTTGCTGACAACGGGCGTCAGGGAGCAGCTGCAAATAGAAAAGCTACCGTTTAGGGGGACAAAACTTCACAATTACTGGTATCTCAAAAGCCACAAATTACAAAAACACTCACACCTCAGGAGAACAAAAATGGCAAAAATCCCAACCCTAATCTGGTTGTTACAGGTTCAGTGAGAGATATGACAGAGTTACAAGGCATGCGATCCACAGTGTCACACACATACAAAGCGATTGCATTCTTCTTTTTAGTGGTAGACTATTACTGGAGATGGAGGCTCCTTTGCTGATTCTCAGAGCTAGTTATAGAATATAGAATATCAGAGTTGGAAGGGACCTTGGAGGTCTTCTAGTCCAACCCCCTGCCCAGGCAGGAAACCGTACACCACTTCAGACAAATGGTTATCCAACATCTTCTTAAAAACTTCCAGTGTTGGAGCATTCACAACTTCTGGAGGCAAGTTGTTCAACGTATTAATTGTTCTAACTGTTAGGAAATTTCTCCTATAAATGTAGCTATAAATGCAATCTGGTTGCCAGCATCCAATTCAGTCGCGTGACTGCAAAGGGGAAAGACTTGTTGGAACTTCAAATCCAAGTGGTACATAGCCCCCAGCTAGGTCTGTCAGAACTTCGAACGGCCACTAAATGGCCAGTCCTAAGTTGAGGACTACCTGTATCTGAAGGGCCATCGCCAGATAATGAAATCAGCCATCCTGAACCTGTTACCCTCCAAAGGTTGGGACAGCCACTAAGCGAGTACAGAAATGCTATGCAGGGATATTTATTCATTCATTCGTTTATTTATTATTTTATCCCGCCTTTATTACTTTATTACTTTTATAGGTAACACAAGGAGACGAATATCCCTAACACTCCTTCTTCCTCCTATTTTTCCCCACAACAACCCTGTGAGGTGAATTGGGCTGAGAGAGAACGACTAGCCGAAGTTGCCCAGCCAGCATTCGTGCCTAGGACAGGACTAGAACTCTCTCCATTTTCTAGTGATTGGTCCAAAGTCACCCAGCTGGCTTTCATGCCTAAAGTGGGACTAGAACTCACCATCTCCTAGTGATTGGTCCAAAATCACCCAGCTGGCTTTCATGGCTGAGATGGGACTAGAACTCACAGTCTCCTAGTGATTGGCCCAAAGTCACCCAGCTGGCTTTCTTGCCCAAGGCGGGACTAGAATTCACCATCTCCTAATAATTGGCTCAAAGTCACCTAGCTGGTTTTCATGCCTAAGGCAAGACTAGAATTCACCAACTCCTGGTGATTGGCCCAAAGTCACCCAGCTGACTTTCATGGCTAAGGCAGGACTAGAACTCACAGTCTCCTGGTTTCCAGGCCAGCATCTTAACCACTTCACTGAACTGACTCTCTTTTGTTCAACATTGTGTTAAATAATTATTCAACCAATATTGCTTTTTCCAGTCCGAAAAAGACCATCTCACCTGTTCCTTTCACTCATCACAATCCCGTCAACCCCTAGGAAGTGCGCCGTCCGCAGGACTGCCCCCAAATTCATGGGATCGTGTATCCCCTCCAAAACCAGCCAGATGCACTGCGACCCCTTGCCCACCAGGGCTCGGTGGAGTGGCCCTTCCTGCCATGCCAGGGAGCGAAGAGGGGAGGTTTCCAAGCATACTCCCTGATGGACACCCCCTTTACAAAGGGCATCTAAGATCTTCCTGTGGACCTTTTTCACCGGGATCCCATGTTCCTCGGCGTACTGGGAGAATTTTTCTGCCCCCGGAGTTGTCCTGTCTCGGCTCGCTTTGAGGAAGAGCTGGAAAAACGTCCGCTTGGACCGTCCAAGGGCCAAGGAGCAGGGAGCTGTCCCAAACAAAATATCCGAGCCTTTATTCCTTTCTGGGAGATGAAGACTTCTCTGCGGGTTTTTACGCTTGGAGACAAAATCGTCATTTCTCAGGTTCTGGAATTCTTCCTTAATGGTGGACGGTGCAGCTTTGGTGCGGAATTTTGGGAAGGGTTTATTCCGAAAGACATCCGCCTGGCGGTTGTTTTTTTCGTGGGGACGCGGTGCCGAGTTCAACCGGTGAGTTTCCTCGAGTTTTGACGTTTCCGGGGAACGACCAGATTGCAAAGCTGCGATTTCTTGGTTGCTGATTTCCTGGAGAGGCTGATCTTCCAACAGCGGCGGTTTCTTCCACGCGGAGAAGTAGCGGGTGTTCTTAAAAGGAGTGGGGAGACGAATGACAAAGGGCAACTTGGCCGCTTTTCGGAAGCCGGCGTTAAAGGCATGGAGAGGGTTCATTCTACTGCTACTTCTTCATGGGTAACCTTAAGAAAAGAAGTGGTATATATATATACATACACTATTATTCCCCTCTTATTTCTATCTCTATTTTAACTTTTTTTAATGTTACCATAATATTCAATTTCTTTTCTTTTTCATCTTTCACCTGCTTTGTTATTCATGTTTCCCTTATTTAGCTCTTCACGTCTATTTATATTAAAGTTTCATCCTTCATTCTTTCATTGTTCAGTGTTTCAACATACACTTCTAGTACCAATCACGATCACTTAAACATATAGAGTAAATCTAATCCTGTTCTTTTCAACCATGCAATCCGTGTAATTCTACTATTAATACACATGCTTACATTAAAATATATTCTTCCATTATCTAATCCCCCATTAATTTTATCATTTCACTGCTAATCTTAAGATTTGTATGCATGTTTAATAATACCATCAGTCAATCTCTAATTTCCCATGCTTCATTCTTATTCGTAATTCCCATATTTCACTCTTCCTTATCTATTTATATTAAACTATTTTCCTAATGTCTATCACACTACATACAAAATAATTATCCAGTCTATATAGTTCTAATTATTATTACACATGTTTTTGTTAAAATATGTTCACGGAGGATCTTTTTCTCTCTTTTTTCTATCCATCATCTCTTGCCTGGGCAAGGGCAAAAGCGAAATGTTTTCAATGGGGGAAAAAAATCAAGAAAGTCTTTGGAAAAAACACTTTTGGGACAGCAGATGAAAAGGAATAGACTGAATGGAAGATGTGAAAAAGGCAGGCATGCATGCACACAAATACATACACACACACACGAAATCCTCCTCCCAACCTGGCCAACATAAACCCTTAAGCCAAAATATTTTCCCTACTAAATTGCCATCGCTTCCCCATTACATGAGAATATTAGCTCAAGCTTGTGTGCACACAAGCACAGCTAGGAGTACCAAAGCCTATGCTTCCCAGCATATGGGGATGATGTATCCTGGAGTCTGAGCCATATAGGGAGCATCAGGCTGCATGGGCCTCAGTCATAGTCAGGGAAAAGTTTCAAGATGCACCCAAAAGAGTTTAGGGAAGGAAGAATGAAATGTGGTTTATATCAGCATTTTTTCAATCTCGGCCCCTTTAAGAATGCATGGACTTCAACTCCCAGAATGCCAAGCCAGCATGGACTCTATGACCGACAACGTAGATACTGCCCTGCTATGCACATTTTTGCTGGCATTTTTTTCTTTTTTTTTCTTTTGCAAAGTCCTAAATATGCGTTCACCGTTTACCTGCTCCTTTCTCCGATCCAGAAATTCAGGGGTTTCTCGGCTCCACGTGGGTTGAATGAACTTCCGGGTTCAGGAAGGAACGCTCGTTTCCCGATCATAGAGTTCTCCCACGGAGATCATAGAGCGGCAACCGGAAGGAGGACTTTGTTTTGTTTTTGTTTTTTGGTGCCCCCTGTTGGCGGAGGATTAAGCGGCTGGATGCTCTTTCTTTGTTAGAAACCTTGAGCTTGATTGAGTGGCTGGGGATGATGGGGGTTGTAGTGGTAACCGCGGGAGGTTGGGTGGGAAGGCTGGGTGGATAGAGAATGTCGTGGGTGCGCATGACTGTGGAAAGGTAGTCAGGGTAGTCCTTGACCTACGACCGCAATTGAGCCCAAAATGTATGTTAATAAGCGAGATAGTTCTTAAGTGAATTTTGTCTCACTTTGCGACCTTTCTTGTCACAGTTGTGAAGTGAATCACTGCAGTGGCTAAATTAGGGGAGGTTTTTAAGAATAGATACTAGACAGTCACTTGTCTGAAATGGTATAGGTTCTCCTGCTTGAGCACAGGGCTGGACTAGAAGACCTCCAAGGTCCCTTCCAGCTTCTATCCTATCCTATCCTATCCTATTTTTATTCCATCCCATCCCATCCCATCCCTCTATTCTATTCTATTCTATTCTATTCTATCCTATCCTATCCTATCCTATCCTATCCTATCCTATCCTATCCTATTATCCTATCCTATCCTATCCTATCCTATCCTATCCTATCCTATCCTACTCTACTCTACTCTACTCTACTCTACTCCATCCCATCCCATCCCATCCCATCCCTCTGTTCTGTTCTGTTCTGTTCTGTTCTAGTCTAGTCTAGTCTAGTCTAGTCTACTCTACTCTACTCCATCCCATCCCATCCCTCTGTTCTGTTCTGTTCTGTTCTGTTCTGTTCTGGTCTGGTCTGGTCTGGTCTAGTCTACTCTACTCTACTCTACTCTACCTCTACTCCATCCCATCCAATCCCTCTGATTCGATCCTATCCTATCCTATCCTATCCTATCCTATCCTATCCTATCCTATCCTATCCTAACGCGGTTGTTAAATCAATCTAGCTTCCCCATTGACTTTGCTTGTCAGAAGGTCGCAAAAGGGGATCACATGACCCCGGGACACTGCGACCGTCATAAATGTGACTCAGTTGTCAAGCAGCCGATTTTAAATCATGTGATCATGGAGATGCTGCAACAGTCGTAAGTGTTGAAAACAGTCAAAAGTCACTTTTTTCACTGCCGTTGTAACTTCAGTCCCTAAACAAATTGTTGTAAATTGAGGACTACCTATATCAGTTGTGAAATCCAAGGTTTTTTACTACCGGTTCTATGGGCATGGATTGGTGGGCGTGGCAGGGGAAGGATACTGCAAAATCCCCATTCCCTCCCCACTCCTGGGGGGGAAGGTTATTGCAAAATCTCCATTCCCACCCCACTCCAGGGGAACGATACTACAAAATCTCCATTCCCTCCCCACTCCTGAACCCGCTGGATTTCACCCCTGAGTCCTATATGTGTTGATGGTGAAGAGCAAGGAAATTAATTTTAGGATTAGAGGAACCGTATGAAAATGTCATTGAACAGCCAAGAAATGGGTCACTGAACAAATCAATCAGGGGTGAAATGCTCCCGGTTCGGACCGGATCGCCCGATCCGGTAGCGATGGCGGCGGGTAGCAAAAATCCCTGCCCCCCCCCCCCAATGCCCAGCTGAGCTGTGCAATCACCAGAGGTTTTTTTTTTTAACTTTTAAAAGCATTTTTTTTACAACCACTTCCGACGAAAAAATGCTTTTAAAAGTAAAAAAAAAAAAAGCCTCTGATGATCACGCGGCTCAGTTGGGATCATCAGAGGCTTTTCAAAGCATTTTTTTCTGCAACCTCTTGGTTAAAAAAATGCTTTGAAAGGTCTCTGACGATCCCAGCTGAGTTGCCTGATCAGCAGAGGCTTTTCAAAGCATTAGAAAAAATGCTTTGAAAAGTTTTTTTTTTTTAAAGTTGGCCACGCCCACCCAATCACATTACCCACCCACCACCCACCAAGCCACGCCCACAGAACCGGTAGTAACAAATTTTACATTTCACCCCTGAAATCAACCCAGAATCCTCAATCTAGGACCAGGCTCAAATTATCCAAGTTTGAAGACTTCATCCAAAGGCCCAGCTTTCTAGAGAGAGCTTTAATGCTACTAAAGATGGAAGGAAAGAGAATAGGATGAGCATTTTTCATACTGGAGGAAGAATCGTAAGACACACATACTCCTCTCTTTATTTCCATGCCCCCCAGAGAAGGTAAACACCCCCCCCCACATCCATAGAAGTTGAAGAAGCTTCTTGGATGAGAAGTGAAACATCTTCAAAGAGCTTTGGTGGTGCAGCAGACTAAAGTGCTGTTAAGTAGCACCAGCTGCCTGCAATTATTGCAAGTTCGAATCTCACCAGGCTCAAGGTTGACTCAGCCTTCCATCTTTCCGAGGTAGGTAAAATGAGGACCCGGATTGTGGGGGCAATAAGCTGACTTTGTATAAAAAAGAACACCGCTTAGTGGGGGGCGAAAGCCCTACTAAGCAGGTATAAACAAAAATATGAAGGCTATTGCTTAACGCATTGTAAGCCGCCCTGAGTCTCCGGAGAAGGGCGGCATATAAATTGAACTAATAAATAAATAAATTGAACTAATAAAAGAAAAAACCAGAAAGTCCAGTTGCTTCTTGAAAAAGCACCTCTGGGACATAGAAGCTAAAGCAACCCCTGCCTCCCAGCCAGAATGGCCTCAAGTAACCCCGGTTAGAAGACTGAGACAGCCTGGATTGACAGGATTAAGGATTACATCAGAAAACACCAAGCCACACAGGATTTCCATTCCCCACTTTTCCCCAAGGAGAAAAGCCTTGATTCTGACCACTACCCAGGAAAACCAAAATAGGGACCATTACAATACAGAATCAGATAACAGAATAACAGAATTGGAAGGGACCTTGTAGGTCATCTAGTCCAACCCCCCCTCCCAAGCAGGAGACCCTACACCAGTGGTGAAATCCAAATTTTTTTACTACTGGTTCTGCGGGCATGGCTTGGTGGGCATGGTGTGGCTTGGTGAGCATGGCAGGGGAAGGATACTGCAGAATCTCCATTTCCACGCCACTCCAGGGGAAGGATACTACAAAATCCCCATTCCCAACCCACTCCAGGGGATGGATACTGCAAAATCCCCAACCTACTCTAGGGGATGGATACTGCAAAATCTCCATTCCCACCCCACTCTGGGGCCAGCCAGAGGTGGTATTTGCTGGTTCTCCGAACTGCTCAAAATTTCCACTACCGGTTCTCCAGAACCTGTCAGAACCTGCTGGATTTCACCTCTGCCCTACGCCATTTCTGACAGATGGCAGCCCAGTCTCTTCTTGAATGCTTCCAGTGATGAAGCTCCCACAACTTCTGAAGGCAACTTCCGTTCCATGGGTTGATTGTTCTCACCGTCAGAAAATTTCTCTTTATTTCTAAGCTGAATCTCTCCTTGATCAGTTTCCATCCATTTTCAGGTGCTTTGGAAAATAGCTTGACCCCCTCCTCTCTGTGACAGCCCCTCAAATGTTGGAACACTGCTATCATGTTTCCCCTGGTCCTTTTCTTCTAATCTAATCATCTCGTCTCATCTCAGGCTGATAAGCACCCACCTTTATCTCCCTTGACACGCTGCCAAGAACTAATTGGCAATTAACTTTGCAAGGCCACACGGAGCATAGAGTCAAAACGGAGCTTCAGAATTTAAACCGACGAACAACAGTTGCTTCCTGCAAAGGCTCACGTGCCTTTGCTCCTCTTTTATGTCTTATGGGAGGAGCCAATCATCTCCAAGCCCTACTCCTGAGTCGTCCCTTTTGTTTTAACTGTTCTTGCCTTCTGGCAGCTCTGCGCATGTGCGCACTGGGAACAGGCTCCCTCTGTTCCTCTCCCTCGCTGATGTCCAACTCTGGAGGCTCCAGAGTCTGCACATAACTCCCAGATGGTCCTGGAGTCCCATCTCTGCCTCTGATGCAGAGTCCTCATCCGAGCCTTCCCCTGTCTCCAGGACTGGTCCATGTTCCTCCCCAGCCTCCTCACTGTCCGACTCTGCTGCCAGCTCTGCAGGCCGCCAGCGAACCACAACAGCTACAGAAATTTTGGGCTCAATTGTGGTCATAAATTGAGGACTACCCGTGCTAAATAAAATGTCCTGTTTCAGTGATATTAAGGTGCGCACCTGGCACCTTAGCTTGAAGCCTTCCCTCCCTCAGCCATGGACTCTCATGGTTTGGCTTTGCTCCAGCCCCACCCGATGTAGTCTACCTCACAGGGTTGTTGTGGGGAAAAGTAGAAAGGGAAGACGGATATATGTATGCTGGGAAAAACACAGGTCATAAATTAAATATTTCCAATTTTGTTTGGGAGGGGTTTTTTGGGGGGAGGTGTTTCGTCCTAATCCCTGCAGTGTTTAATTTTTAACAAATCTTTAGCAGCAGAAGTTTTAAATCATTAACTGCATCCTACTGGGTCCTAAGTCCAGAGTGATGCTTTGGAAAACGATCCCCCTGAATTTGCCAAAGGGACATGTTTTCGACGCTAAAACAGAAGCAGGGAAGCGTGGCGGCTGAGATTAAATTAGGAACGCTTGTTACGAGGCTGGCCTCGGCCAGGAATTCTCCATTCACCTTAGGCAACCCACCGTGTTTTCAGCTTCAGCTCTGCTCTGCATACAACCTGAAAATAAAAATAAAACTGGCCCATTTTGGCTAAATTTACGGGCGCCAGGCTTAAAGTGAGCCTTATTTCT